AATTGTCAAAATTGTAACAACATCTACTGCGCGTGGAGAAAACCTAGTTGGCTTGTTTACGGAAACTTTATCATATTGTCAGAAGACAGAACTAAACAGGGCAATCCTGAAGCCTCATCCCATTTTGCGCAAACAATTGAGGCGCTATGAAAATCGATAGGGTGGAAAAAATATCTCGTAATTAGACGACGGACATTAAACAGTGTGAAATTTGTGTTTTATGACCGGAGACTAGTACCCAGTACAGTTCAATTTTAACGTTCTGTGAAAAATGCCCTAAAATTAAAATGAAGACAAATAAGACTTTGTTTTACTAGGATCACTATTCGGCGAGTTTTGTCATAAAAAATTACTCGTCGAAAAAAAAAGTTTGAAATTTTTTTGGATAACATTGACAAACTAGATGCCCGTTATGGTTTTTAGCTTCTAAAAAATTGCTTTAGCATGCCAAAACTCCCTGAGTTTTGCGTAAGAGCCTTTGTTTTAGCGAAACTGAACTTTTGCATTCCTACGACATAATACGAAACAACTCGTTATCCAAGGCCACTAAGCCTGTTTTGACAGTGATGCAGTCGACTTTAAGAATGTCAGAAGTCAGAAACTAACAAGACGACCCTGAACACCCAAACCACTCCACTTGGCGTAAACAATTCAGACGCTAGTAAAACCGCTAGGGCCGAAAAAAATATATCGTAATTTGCCGATGAACATTTTAAAAAGTTTGAATTTTGTGTTTCAATACAAAACAAGAATAAACAGTATTGGTCACTTTTAAGGCAATTTCGAAGCTCAAACCAATGGACGTAAAAATGTTTACTGAGTTCCAGGATTTGTTTGGCTCAACAAAATTTACATCATCCCATGCCAAAATCTGTGGTTAAATTTATCGAGTCAACAACTCAAATTGCGATAGGACTTCAGTAAGATCTAAAATTGCCGACAGCATAAACAAGTGTCGAGAAAGTGATTGGCATGGCCTTCATTGCGTCAAAAAAGCAGGGAGAATCTCTAGGCATTCAAATCTCAGCGCCCGTATAAAGCAGAGTTCGGTTTCTTTTCATTTTGTTTCTGTTTTAGAGCCAAGGCACCTCTACAGAATCGATCAGAAGCAACAAGACGGTTTAGCGCTTGTTCCATCGACTGTTGGTAATCAGTTACTGTGGAATGTAACAGTAGTAGACTCTCCAGCTCCCAGTAGGATTAGTGCGGGTCGATTTTAACCCTGTTACGGTTGCCGCTGAAGAGCAAAAAAAAAAGACAAGCATAAAGACTCGATAGATGATGAATACCTGTTCCAAGCGCTAGTTTTTAAGATTCAGTGCGCGGCTGACCTCAGCACGTAGTTTTTTCAGAAAGCTTGGTTAGTATCTAAGAACATGTAGGAAGGAACCCAGTGAGCAGCTTTTCAAAACAGAGAGTCTCACTGGCAATACAGATTACGAACGCTGCTACTCGGCACAAAATATGACGAAACAATTTTCCATGACATTTTTTTCATTTTTTTTCAATCATTATATGATTTTTCTCGATTCGAATTACTTTTTTAAAGGAAAAAACTCGTATCGTGTTGATTTTTATTCATATCAACCTCGTATAGAGTTCCGTGTTTTTATTGAAGAAACATAACCTTATTGTCGAATTTAAATTTAAGCACATTAACTCAATTTTCTCATTTTTACTTCCATATCTACAAAATTCTTAGCACTTTGACTGCAACAAAGGATGAAAGGACCCCTGACTGTAGCCAGTAGAAAAAAAAGACAATGTAGAGCTAATTCATATTGTAGAGCAAAGAACATCAAATAGTTCTTTTTAGAAAAAATGAATTGCGGGGAAGTCGTCTTGTGACCTTTATGGTTTACATCAATGGAGCTAATTGTTCCTAAAATTAGAGACAATCACTGAAGTACAACGACAAGATCATTTACCGATTAGAGTCATACTCCATCCCCGGACTCTCGTTGAACCCCAAAACTTGGGACCCCCTCAAGATCGCCCATTTTTTTCAAGAGAACAGAGGTGAAACCAACACCGCAAGGGTATTATCATCTGACACAACATACTTATTAACAATCTCCCCACTCACACCAGCAAATTTTGTCCGACTCAGAATAAACACTCACACCTCCGAATTTCCAAACATATTAGTATCTAATTGAAGCTTCAATCGTAATCAGGTGCTCAAGCGATTGTCTACACAAAGACATGGGACAACATTCTCTCGCTCGAGCTTAGTGAAAACGCAATTTTATTTCTTAACAATAGGAGAAAACCATATATGAGGGAAGAAAGGAGAGTAACAAACTCCTGTTCGAGCTCACCAAAATTCAGCCCAAACCACGACAGAAAATTAGTAATCAGAGTAGCAAAGAAGAGTCACAACTTGCAATAACTCATCCACCTGTAGCGAAGAAGAAAATCAAACGAGAAACAGAATGGCAGATGAAGAACAAAAAAAAACACGAAAACAGGGAGAAGGAAACAAATAGAGACTTTGAAAAATCTGGAATTCTTTCTAATTACACTGAATTTGGATCTGAAAACCTCGGAACTACAGGCTTATTGTTGAAACCTACCTTCCCTGCAAGAAGGAACACTTACCTATTTTTCCTTTGGTCCCAATGATTTAGGAGGTGTAAAACCTTCGAATTTCGGTATCGAACAATTATTTCCGTTTCCTGTGCTCAAATTCCAGTTAATCTGGAGTTGTGAAACCTTCAAGTTCCGGAACGTATTGAAATTGAATTCACCTTTTTTTCCTGGAAAAAGGTAGTTTTGCGACCAGCAGATCTGTAAGCATTGAAAGTCCTCACTCTGCTTCTCAAGCTGAGATGCAGTGCATTTAAATCAAAAGAAGTGAGAACGAGTAAAAAAAACACAAACGAACGGAAAATGGAGAACATTGCAGAAAAAAAATAAAACCTCAGAGAAACATCAACAGAGCAAAAAAGTAAAACTTTTAAAAAAATGACGTTGCAAAGTAACAAATGACTGCATACAACCACGAAGACAAAATTAACTCTCTTGACCTGAAATGTCAGAAGTATTTTCAAACTAAACAGGCAATTGAGATTTGTGAACAAAAAGCCATTAAAGAATGTGTGAAATGTGCAAAAACGAAACATGACTGTGCCAGTAACTGCCAAACAAGGCCCTGTTTTTTAGCCGAACACATCAATTAAACAAATAGTTGCGTGAACTAATCACTGTCCCCAAAGCAAGTGAAGGACCTCATAGCAATTAAGGGGCTGACACTTAGAAGAGTTCCTTAGGAAATTACTCATTAGCTAACTTCACACCCAGCCTGAAAACAACCCCCCGTATACTGATTGCACAGGAATTCAAGGTCATCTTGCAAGCTCTGAGCGAACGACGAACAATTGATTTTCCAAAACTGCTGCAATATTTTACTGTTTATTGTCATCAAACTACAGGAAACACACAGGGAAGGTCTGATATCAGATGAAGCTGAAGAGTCTTCCCTTACTGAGAAATTTGATCGAATGGGACTACGTCAAGTGATACCAAGCCAACCACATCAAATGCTGATGATGTTCTGAAAAAACCAGAATTTGTGGAATGCTCGAGCATCGATAAAAAAACTGAAATAGTATACTCGATCTCTAACAATAAAACTTCTGCCATCATGCTTACAGAACAATGTTTACTTTTGAAAACAAAACCTCAATATCACTTATATTTATAAAAAAAAACTTCCAATTTTGCAAACAAAAAGGGAATACGCAAGCGATCATTCAATCTGTAAAGTAAGAGCAATGTCAATTAATCGGTAAAATAATGGTACTCATGGCTTCAAAAACGAATCAATCGAAACAAAACCTCAATAACAGCTCACTGGCCCAACCCGACTTTCTTGAGACCAAAAAAAAATTGCAGATGAAATTTAAGAAACCAAACCTGTTACAGTTAAAAGTAGCTGCCAGCAGAAGAATGCCTACAATACAAACTTCTTCAAATCATTACAAAAAATAATAACTTTTTTGGATCAAAAGATTTAAAAAAGCAGGAGTGTAACCTGAAAAGTTTTCTTTCTAGAAAGTAATACTATTACCTACAAACTCGAAACGTTTTCTTTTATTCTCATGTTATTGAGAACAAAATATAAGGCAAATAAATTAAAATAGACCTGAGCTGAGCAGTTTTTGGACACGAAAAAACGAGCAACATTTTTCTTGAAAACGTAGCAATATTTGCGAAACTGTCGAAATTTGAGTTTCAAACTCCTTTAATTAACAGAAGATTTCCCTTGGTTTGGGAATTCAGCCGATTAACGCAGAGCGACAAAAAAGACGGAGCCGATATTTCATTACTATACGACATGAAGAGCTCTTCACTGACCTTCCAATCAGTTTATTTTGTTGTTTTGTAGCTGGCGAACCAATTTAAGTTCAAGTTCCTACTGTATCGAATGTGTTTTTTGTCGTTCTGCGAATAGGCGATTTAGTTTTTTGTGAGCCGGTTCACAAAATTGGTTTCCAATTTTGTATAAATTTGACAAAATTATTGGTCTCTGTTTTCTACAAACAGCTAAATGCGCTGAACTATCTTTTTAAAACTGGTTCATGTATCTCTTTTCCAAAAATTGAGCTCGTTTATCTCGATTAAAATGGAGTAAGTAGCAGAGAACGCCAAATATTTTAGAAGTAACTTAGAACATTTGAACTTGCAGAGATGAGGTTTGAGTCCCACGAAAGGCATCTGAACTTTTAGGAAATTAATTAACCGAATTTTAAAACCCTGGATTTGAATTATTTTAAGTGAGCCGAATTGAAAGAAATTAAAGTTGGGTTTATTTTCTGGGTATATTTTGAAGTTGGGTTTATGATCAAAGTTGGGTTTATTTTATCTGTGATAACTAAGGTGACCAATTGCAATGAAATTGGACTCATTCATCATCTCCTTCTCATGAAGAGACGAGATAAAATTTTAATAATTCGTCCAAGATAAAAGAATTTAAAGCAGTAGGGAAGGTTACTTACCGGTAATGAGGTCATTCAATCGTGTTCTGGTTCTCACTGTGTCTTTTCTTCCTTGAGCTACTTTCTCTCGCATGTGTTCAAATTCTTCGCTAACAAAGGCAAGGGAACAATCAATGATGGTGTATATGTCATCAAAATCTCCAACCAGTTGCACCTGTTGTCCCGAGGTGTCAGATGGAACTAGAAAAAAACAGGTTCAGGCAACGTTCGGCCAGCAAATTAGATAAAATAATTGAATTATCCATAACTCAGCTATCTTGTTTTAAAAAACAGACGAAATGAAGTCTATTTATAACTGAAAATTGAGATTTGATGAACTTTTTGCTAGCTTTTTTTCTTTTTTCAGGCATCGAAAAAACTTCAATGGAAATTATCTTTCATCAAAGTCTTTTATCGAAAAATGTAAGTTCTTCTATTTTCTTTGCTGTGGACTTGTATTATATTGAAATTCATTTCTTGAAATTACAATCATTTAAAATTGCCTAGCGCTACCCTGATCTGTCTGGTCTTGCCTTGCCTCGCGCGGCCCTGCCCTGCCCCATCCTGTCTTGATCTGCACTTCCTTTCCTAGCCTTGTGCTGCCTTGCCGTGTCATCTCTGCCCTGCCCTGGCTTGTCTTGTCTTGCCTTGCCTTGTCTTGCCTTGCCTTGCCTTGCCTTGCCTTGCCTTGCCTTGCCTTGCCTTGCCTTGCTTTGCTTTGCTTTGCTTTGCTTTGCTTTGCTTTGCTTTGCTTTGCTTTGCTTTGCTTTACTTTGCCTTGCCTTGCCTTGCCTTGCACTGCCCTTCCCTTCCCTTACTTGTCTTTGGCATTCCTGACTTTCGCTGTCCTGCTATGCGCTGCCCTGCCTTATGCTGCCCTACGCTGCCCTGCCCTGCCCTGCCCCGCCCCGCCCCGCCCCGCACTGCACTGCCCTACACTGTTCTTACCTTCCGCTCCTTGTCTTTGGCAGTCCTTGTGATGTCATGCTCTGCCCTGCCTTACGCTGCTTTGCCTTGCCTTGCACTGCTCTGCCCTGTTCCGTCATGCGCTACCCTGCCTCGTCCTGTCCAGGTTTAATCTGATCTGCAAGGCATTGCGCTGCCCTGCTAAGTTACTTTTTGCGGTGGCCTGGCTTGCAATGCCCTTGCCTGCGATGCCCTTCCCTATTTTACCTTGACATGCCTTGCGATGCGTCTTCGTGTCATGCTTGCCTTGCACTGCCTGATGCAAACTGCTTTAATATACGATGCCCTTACTTGCCCTGCTTTATCTTGCATTGCATTGCATTATTTTACTTTGCATTGCGTTTCACTGCATCCAGTTGATTTAGAGAATTGCATTGCAATGCTCGGCATGGCATTGCATTGATTTGCGTTACATTGCACTGCATTGGCTTCCATCGTAATGCAATTTATTTCCTCCCAATGCCGTCAATTACTTTGCATTACCTTGCAATTCGTAAAATTGCATTGCGTTGCATTACATTCCAATGCATTGTTTTCAGCGCGTCGCAGTGAATTGTATCGCGTTAAGTTACCTTGCATTGCACTGCAAAGCAAGTATTTGCATTGCATTGCGTTGCATTTCTTGTCCTATCTTCTCTTGTCTTGTCATATTTTTTCTTGTCTTTTTTCTTTTCTTCTCTTCTCTTAAAGTGTCTTGTCCTGTCTCGTAGTGTTTTGTCGTGTCTTGTTTTGTACTTTCAATGTTTTTTAGGGTTTTGCTGAGTCTTGTTGTATCTCGCGGTGTTTTGTCGTGTCTAGCCGTGTTTTGTCATTTTTCTTCTCTTTTTCTGTGTCTTTTCGTGTTTTTTTATTGTATCTTTTCATGCCTTGTCGTGCAATGTCATGTCTTTTCTGGTCTTGGTTCTTATCTTGGCTTATCTTGCCGTATTCAATCGTGTCTTTTCGTTTCTTTTTAACACTTGTCATGTCTTGTCGTGTTTTAAGGTGTCTTGTCGTGTCTTGACTTGCCTTTTCTTGCCTTGAAATTTTTTGGCGTGTTTTGTTTTAACATTGCTTTGTTTTGTTTTGTTTTGTCTAGTCTTGTCTAATCTTGTCTTGTCTTTCTTGTCTTGTCTTGACTTGTCTCGTCTCGTCTCGTCTTGTCTTGTCTTGTCTTGTCTTGCATTGCGTTGTTTTGACTTGTCTTGTGTTGTTTTGTCTTGTATTGTATTGTCTGATCTCGTTCATTTTTCTTTTCTTGCTTTGTCTCATCCTATCCTGTTTTTTTTGTATTGCCTGTGTTGTCTTATCTTGTCTTGTCTTGATATGGCTTGCCTTCTCTTGAGTTGTCTTTTCTTGTCTGGCCTTGTCCTGTCTTGTCTTCTCTGGTGTTGTCTTGTTTTAATTTATCTTTTCTCAACTTGTCTTGTCGTGATTTGTTTTGTCCTTTGTTGTCATATCAAGCTATCTATGCCTGGTCCGCTTATGTGTTGTCTTATTTTGTCATGACTTGTGTTGTCTCGACTTGTCCTGTTTTGTCTTGTCTTGCTTTGCGTTTTCTTGTATATTTTTAACTTATCTTATGTTGTCGTGTCTTGTATTGTCTTATTTTTTTGTCTTTCTCTGTCTTGTCTTGTTTTGTTTTATAGTGTCTTGTCTTGTCTTTCCTCCTCGTCTCTTCTCGTCTGGTTTTTTCATGCCTTGTTTTGTCCTGCCTTATTTTCTTATGTTGTCGTGTCTTGCAGTAATTTGTCGTGTCTCTACGTGTTTGTCATGTCTGTCATGTCTATTTGTTTATTCGTGTCGTTTTGTGTGTTGTTGTATCTCTCCGCAACTCTTCGCATCTTTTTGTGTCTCGTTTTCGTTTCTTTTCGTTCTTTGTTGTGTTTTTTTGGCTCGCCTTATCTTGTTTTGCCTTGCTTTACCTTTTATGCCCGTCTCTTCTCGTCTGCTCTTGTTTAGATTTGTTTTGTTGTTTCATTTCTTGTCTGGTCTTGTCTCGTCAACACTTGTCTTGTCTTTTTTTCTGTTTTATTTTAAATTCTTCCTTGCCTTGCCTTGCCTTGCCTCGTCTTGTCTTATTTTGTCATGACTTGTGTTGTCTCCTCTGGTCCTGTCTTGTCTTGTTTTGCTTTGCGTTTTCTTGTATAGCTTTAACTTATCTTATGTTGTCGTGTCTTGTATAGTCTTTTTTTTGTCCTGCTTTGTCATGTCTTGTTTTGTTTTATAGTGACTTGTCTTGTCTTTCGTCCTCGTCTCTTCTCGTCTAGTTTTTTTCTTGCCTTGTTTTGTCCTGCCTGTTTTTCTTATGTTGTCGTGTCTTGTCGTAATTTTTCTTGTCTTGTTTTTTTTTCTGGTCGTGTCTTGTCGTAAATTGTCGTGTCTCGTCGTGTTTTGTCATGTCTTCGCATCTTGTCGATCTCTTCGCATCTTGTCCTGTCTTTTTGTAACTCGTTTTTGTGTCTATTCATGCTTTGTTGTGCCTTTTTTATTTCTTTTGGCTTGCCTTGTCTTGTCTTGCCTTGCTTTATCTTGTATGCCCGTCTCTTCTCGTCTGCTCTTGTTTTGTACTGCCTGGTTTTGGCGTGTCTTATTTTGTCTTGTAACTTTTTTTCTCTTCTTTTTGTGTCATTTCTTGTCTCGTCTTGTCTCGTCAACTCTTTTCCTGCCTTTTTTTATTTGTTTTGTTTTAAATTGTTCTGTTTTGCCTTGCCTTGCCTCGTCTTGTCTTGTCTTGTTTTGTAATGCCTGGTTTTGGCGTGTCTTATTTTGTCTTGTAACTTTTTTTTCTCTTCTTTTTGTGTCTTTTCGTTTCTTTTTATCGTATCTTGACATGCCTTTTCGTTCCATGACAGGTCTTTTCTGGTCCTGTGTCTTGTCTTGTTTATCTTGTCGTGTTTTTTTGTGTCTTTTCATGTTTTGTCGGGCCTTTCTTGTCGTGTCTGATCTTGTCTTGTTTTGTCTTGTCTTGTCTTGTCTTGCTTTGTCTCGTCCTGTCCTGTTTTTTTTTCTTGCTTGTGTTGTCTTATATTGTCTTGCCTTGTCCTGTCTTGTCTTGTCTGCTGTTGTCTTGTACCCTCATCTCTTTTCGTCTGGATTTGTCTTGTCTTGTCGTGTCTTTTTTGTCTTGTATCCTAGTCTCTTTTCGTATGGTGTTGTCTTTGTCTGGCCCTGCCTTGACTAAACTTGTTTTGACTTATTTTTTCAATTTTGTCTTCTTCCTTTTGACTTGCCTTACCTTGCCTTGTCTTGTCTTGTGTTGTCTTGTTTCAATTTATCTTGTCTCAAGTTTTCTCTTCGTGACTTTTTTTGTCCTCTGTTGTCATATCAAGCTATGTCTGTTCCATTCATGTCTTGTCAAATTTTGTCATGACTTTTGTTATCTCGTCTTGTCTTGTCTTGTCTTGCCTGGTTTTGCGTTTTCTTGCCTAGCCTTAACTTACCTTATGTTCTCGTGTCTTGTATTGTCTTGTTTTTTTTGTCTTGCCTTGTCTTCTCTTGTTTTGTTTTTTTAGTGTCTTGTCTTGTCTTTCATCCTCGTCTCTTCTCGTCTGGTTTTTTTTCTTTGTTTTGTCAAGCCTTTCATGTCGTGTCTTGTCGTGTCTTGTCGTACATTTTCTTGTCTTGTTTTTGTATTGCTTTATCTTGTATGCCCGTCCCTTCTCGTCTGCTCTTGTTTAGATTTGTTTTGTGTCATTTCTTGTCTCGTCTGGTCTCGTCAACTCTTTTCCTGCCTTTTTTTATTTGTTTTGTTTTAAATTGTTCTGTTTTGCCTTGCCTTGCCTCGTCTTGTCTTGTCTTGTTTTGTACTGCCTGGTTTTGGCGCGTCTTATTTTGTCTTGTAACTTTTTTTTCTCTTCTTTTTGTGTCTTTTCGTTTCTTTTTATCGTATCTTGACATGCCTTTTCGTTCCATGACAGGTCTTTTCTGGTCCTGTAACTTGTCTTGTTTTATCTTGTCGTGTTTTTTCGTGTCTTTTCATGTTTTGTCGGGCCTTAATTGTCGTGTCTGATATTGTCTTGTTTTGTCTTGTCTTGTCTTGTCTTGTCTTGTCTTGCTTTGTCTCGCCCTGTCCTGTTTTTTTTCTTGCCTGTGTTGTCTTATATTGTCTTGCCTTGTCCTGTCTTGTCTTATCTGCTGTTGTCTTGTACCCTCATCTCTTCTCGTCTGGATTTGTCTTGTCTTGTCTTGTCTTGTTTTTTTTTGTCTTGTATTCTAGTCTCTTCTCGTATGGTGTTGTCTTTGTCTGGCCCTGC